ATTTCTGTTTTTTATGTTTATTATCATATGGTATTAGCGCTACACCACCTTATCTACTTATGTTTCATCCATTCTAGTCTAGTCAGGTGTCAGCAGCTTCTTTATTTTTATATCTTTGGCAGTGCATGAGTCCACCCCCCTTTATTTAGTTTTGTGCATGGTTAGCTTGTTTCCCCAAAAATAAGACCTAGTACTATTTTTGGGAATTGCTAAAGTATAAGACCTACCCCGAAACTAAGACCTAGTTGTGATCAGGGCTTTTTTTTCAGCCGGGACATGGTGGAACGCCATTCCGCCACCTCTGACACTGGCCCTGTGCACACCAATAACTACTGTCTCTATAACACAGCAGCTTTTGTGTTTTCAAGTGACAGTCCCTCTTGTAAGTGACAGCACTTGCCTACCTCTGTACTCACTGTGGGAACAGATATCTGCGGGCACAGTGTGCAGTGTGTAGGAGCAGGATGGGGCAGGGCATCTTGTCCTGCAGCCTAATGCATGGAAACCAATGCCCCAGGGGAGATCACCGGCCAGTGGGGAAGAAGAGGAGCGGTAAGTGTGCATGGTGCACCGTGTGGGTAGATAGGACTCAAAACAGGAGTTACTATAGAGAGGGGCCAGCTACTGACAGCTGTGTTTTGCAAAGCTAGCTAACCATATGAGGGCAGTGGAGGGGGGGGGGGGGGGGGGAATGTGCAAAGGTGAGCTGCAATCAGGTGTTGCAGAGGTAAATTGAGTCAGGTGAGTTGCAGACAGGGTGCATAGGTGAGCGCAGCTGGGGGGGTGTAGAGGTGAGAGCCGAATTGCAACCCACCTCTGCACCCCCAACCACAGCTCTGTTCTGAACCCCCTGGCCACAGCTTGCCTCTGCACTCCCCAGCCGCAGCTCACCTCTGCATCTCCTGTCCACAACTCACCCCTGCACCATCTGAAACTCGCCTGTCAATTCACCTCTGCAACACCTCACTACAGCTCACAACTGTCATCAGTCGGCCCTCTCTATATTAACCCTCATCCACAACTGCCTGCAGCTCACCTATGCATCCCATCCAGTGGCGTCCCAAAGCAGGTGTGGCACGCTGCAGGTGATACCAGACCCGCTCCACGAAAAGGTAAGTTGTAAAGCAAGCCGACAATCCCCTTACCTTTTCTTGGAACGGGGCAGGTGTCACCCAGTATAGGTTGCATGCCGATGATCCCTGCAGCATGGATCGGATCTGTGGATTGGGGAACATATTGGATCGTACTCCGATCCATTATGCTCAATCTGCAGATTTGAACCATCCTGCAGGGATCGTCGGCATGCAACCTATATGGGGTGACACCGGACCTGCTCCAAGAAAAGGTAAGTTGTAAAGACAGCAGACGATCCCCGCAGGATGGATCGGATCTGCGGATTGAGCATAATGGATCAGAGTCTGATCCATTATACTCAATCCGCAGATCCGATCCATTCTGCGCGGGATCGTTGGCAGGGGTGTCACCAAGTGTTACCGCACCGGGTGACACCAACCCTAGGGACACCTCTGACCCCGTCCACACCTGTACATTAAAAGAAAATAAGATAACTTGTGCCCTCTGGGGGGGAGGGGGGTTCCCCATTACGCCCATCAAGAATAGTCGATTGGGTATAATGAGGAGGTGGTGTGAAATGACTTGGACGGTTACACACTTAATGTGACCTGTGGTGTGCTCTTGTGATTCATGACTGGAGGGTTCCGTAGTGTTCGGGTTCAGCCAGATTTCCAGCCATATGAGGCGGCATTTTGAAGCACCATGTCTTTTAGTGGAGTTGATAATAATTAATTTTTCTGCACTTTCATGTATTATGATGTCACCCATATGCAGAGTTTTTCTTTTTTCCCTGAGGAAGGAGTGAAACCTTTTTCACTCCTTGGATACATATTCAAGCCTTCAAAGTCCCAAGTCCTATAGGGCAGGGGTAGGCAACTGCGGCCCTCCAGTTTCTGTTGAACTACATGTCCCATGAAGCACTGCAAGACTGATAGTTTAAATCATGACTCCCAGAGGCATAAGAATGCTGGGACTTGTAGTTCCGCAACAGTTGGAGGGCCACAGTTGCCCACCCCTGCTATATGGGGGTCCTTTCCATCATTTACAATGCATTAACAGATGTCTACCATCAATGGGGATTGTTTCCATATAATATAGTGTTCAAGAAATGTCATGCTTGCATTTACATACCCAAATTGCTCCAACAGTTGATCTATTTTCACCAAGCTGCTTGGCAATTGCCCCATAGCCCTTTCCAGCCTTGTGGAGGTCCACAGTTTTGTCTCTGGTGTCTTTTGACAGCTCTTTGGTCTTGCCCATGGTAGTAGTTGGCATCTGACTGACTGTGGGGTGGACAGGTGTCTTTAAAGAGCTCAGACAGGTGCTACTAAGTTAGATTAATAAGTGTAGTAGAGGTGGACTTTTTAAAGGCACAGTAACAGGTCTTTGAGAGCCAGAATTCTTGCTGTTTCTTAGGTGTTCAAATACTTATGTTCAGCAGTGCAAGACAAATAAAAATTCTTTAAAAATCATACAATGTGATTTCCTGAATTTTTTTTTTTTTTAATTCTGTCTCTCAGAGTGGGAATGCACCTACATTGTGAATTTAGGACCCCTCCATGATTTCTAAGTGGGAGAACTTGCAAAATCGCAGGGTGTTCAAATACTTCTGTTCCTCACTGTGTGTGTGTGTGTGTGTGTGTGTGTGTATATATATATATATATATATATATCTATATATCTATCTGTGAGGAGGTGGAAGGTAGGGGACTGTATATATCTGTGAGGAGGGGGAAGGTAGGGGAATATTCTTTTCTCACCAGATCATTTTTTTCTATCTAGGTGATGTTATTAAAACAAGCATAACAGCCTGGGTGTGCATCAGGCAATTATGAACAAGACCCTCCCTTTCACAATCAGTCTGCAAAGGACATGGTGAAAATACAAATGTTTGTTTTTTTTTTTTCTCAGAGCAACATATAGGAATCTGCTACAAAGTTTGTTAAAATCATTGCAATGTGGATAGATCACCCAGAGGGGATTGGTTTTTCTCAACAAATGTGGAGTTACACTTTAAGAATCCCAGCAAAGCCCCTGATCCAACTGATATCTTCTCACAAGTCCATCAGGGCAGATGACATTCTCTGATACACACCTTCATAGGGGACAAAATCTAAGGTTTGAAATACAATCCCTAACAATCACACACTTACTTTTTTTTACCAATAGGCAATTTCAGAAAATTATTGATTGCTTTGCATCTATAGACAGCACTGTGATACTTTGTTCAAGAATATAGTTGCATTGTGATTGACCATCCCTGTTTCAATCACGTAATCTCATAATATGATCGATGATTAAAACAGGGATACGATCAATACTGTACGATCACAAGTTACAATTGTATCTTTACTAATGATCAAACTCCACTTCTCCATGTGTGGCATATTGATCAAATGGGTTATTTATAGATCAGTTATTCTTATTTGAGAAATTGGAAAAGAAATCCATCATTTATCGGAACATTTATGGCTACCTTAAAACAGAGCACATAAAAAGTAACCCCATTCTGTGATGCAGATCTTCAAATGGGGGGCAAAATCTAAGGTTTGAAATACAATTCCTAATAATAGCCAATTCGGATGTATACAACTCTCCGAATCACAATAGTAACAAATTTCAGCAAATCTGATAGAAAAGTCTAAGGAAGCAATACATTAATTTACATTCATTCGAATGACATGATGCAATAGTTTGGGCCTTTTGTTACTGATTGAAGCATCCAAAATAATATAACGGCATAAATCAATCCAAAATTAATTTTGTTCCCCTTGTTCTTTCGGATCCATTTCCATTAACATTTTTCATTAGTATAAAAAATGCACTACACATGATATGGAAATACGCTCACTGGCCGCTTTATTAGGTACACCTCGCTAGTGCCAAGAAAATATGCCCTACACCATTACACCACCAGCAGCCTGAACCATTGATACATGGCAGGATGGATCTACGCGTTCATGTTGTTTACACCAAATTTTGACTCTACCATCTGAATGTCAGAGCAACCAGTCTACCCATTCTCCTCTGACACCAACAAGGCATTTTCCTCCACACAACTGCCGCTCATTGGAGGTTTTCTCTTTTTTGGACCATTCTCTGTAAACCCTAGTGATGGTTGTGCGTGAAATTCCCAGCAGATCAGCTGTTTTTGAAATCCTCAGACCAGCCCGTCTGGCACCAACAACCATGCCACATTCAAAGTCACTTAGATCCCCTTTCTTCATCTTTCTAATGCTCGGTTTGAACTTCAGGAAGTTATCGTCCCCACATCTACATGCCTAAATGCATTGAGTTGCTGCCATGTGATTGGTTGATTAGCTATTTGTGTTACCAAGCAATTTAACAGGTGTACCTAATAAAGTGGCTGGAGAATGTATATTGCAGTAAATACAGTAAGATATAAAATTGAAAAAAAAAAAAGAGGATTTCTACTTATTGTGTTTGGGTTGGATGGAGGTGGATCCATCAGAATCTGAGAATCATAACATAACGAATGAATCCGAAATGGTTTCCTTCATTCTTTCAGGCATCATCCAATCAGCTCATACCATTTCTCTTTGTGGGCTGGACTAGCCAAATTTGAATATATGACAGTAGTCCCAATCAGTGTAACAAATCTGATTATACGAAACAAATTCTGAAAACTAATTATTCCAACATAATGAAGATGACGAAACTAAATTGAATTTTTTTTGTCATGCACATCTGTAATATTGATCAAATGGGTTATCTATATATCAGTTATTCCTATTTGAGAGACTGGAAAAGAAATCATTTAGCAAAGGATGTATGGCCACCATAAAACAGATAACTTAAAAGGGAGTCACATAAAACATAATAATACCAACTGAGTATATGATTGTAATTCTTTGAAAGTTGAACCAACCAGTTTAGGTCCATGTGTGTATGGGGGTTCTCTTACCTGCCAGGCAGGCTGTAATATCGATCCAAGTGAGGAGCTGTCCAGCACTCAGCTCTCCCCGATGGTTGGAGTGCCAGGGGTAGACAGTGTGGCACATCTGTACCTCCCCCATCTCATATCCAGAGCCAGCTGTGCCTTCTCTGTGGGCTGCCCCTGCACTTGCTCTTCCATCAGATGTGTCTCTAGGGAGCAGCATGCGACTCAGTGCGACAAACTTCTGCAGCAGGTGCCTGGGAGTCGGGAATGAAATCCTGGATCTGCATGCAGGGAGTGAAGTCCTGGATGAGGGAGCAGCAAGAATATGAAATGTCAAGTATGCCAAGGAGTGCTGAGTGCAGTGAATGCAGAGTAGGCGGAGAGCAGTCAGTATGAAGTCTGCAGTGATGCACAGCATGGCATATCAGGAGTAGGGATCAGATAAGGAGGAGCTGTCAGGTAGATGGTTGCCTGTGCTGTGTGTGTATATAGGAGGCATGGGATAATGTGTGTTCCATCAGGTGCCTGTGTAAGTCAAAGCCACAGCTGATACAAAGTACAGGCTGTTCACAGCTGTGCTGAGGTCACTTGGGTGCAGAACAGAAGCAGGGTCACAGCTCTGCCTGGCATCTTTCCCAGGTGGCATCCAGCCACACCTTGCCTCTCAGCCTCACACCTCCTATTAATGCTTAATAATACTCACAGCACTACTAATCCCAAAGCTAGATATGCAGCCAAGTAAGGCTGGGCTGCTGCTTGTAGCTGGAGAAGTGTTTGCAGGCTTGTGTGCTCTGCAGATCTCATCCTGTGCACTTTGCAGGACACCCTTTATTATAAATCCTTGAATAAGTCCCAAATACAAATGATTAATAAAGGGGATCATTAGCTGTAAAGGTGAACAAAACTACAAAGTACAGCAGTGCCACCCGCAGGCTGTAGCAAGTACTACATGCTCTCGTTTGTTAAATGTCATATTTCAGCATAGGGACACCAACAAACACAACCACCTGCACTCAGGTGTGGTCCTCAGATGTAGAGGGACCAGGGGCGGACTGACCATTCATGCACATGGGCACTGCCTGAGGGCCCAGGGTCAGTAGGGGGCCTCATGAGATGCCCCTGGTACCTTTCATAGGCTTTTCTGGGTGTGGTTTGAGTGTGGGGGAGAAAACAGGGGCCCCATGATCCCCTATTGCCCAGGGGCCCCATGAGTTGTCAGTCCGCCCCTGAGAGGGACTGTCCTTAATCAAGAACTCCTGGGTCAATCCACCCTACTTATACAGCACTCCTTGCTGCCCTCCTCAGACTGGGGTTGTTCGAACACACTATGTAAAGAAAAACAGAGAGAAAGGCCGTACTGGCCTACTGCATTAAATTTGAACACGGTTTATGATGTGCATGTCATTTTTATTGGTTTGTGAATGTAATAACCTATTTTTCTGAATAAATATCCAAATGGAAAACCACCAGAACCATTATACAAGCTTGTTAAATGTTGGAATGAGGTCACACAGGACTGCCAATGCTGACGTGTTTTGAGGGGAATCCCCTCTTCATCAGAGCTGATGCTCTTTAGATGAAGAAGGGACTCCCCTTGAAATGCATCAGCACTGGCAGATTTGTGTGGCAGCTTTCCAACATTTAATAAGCATGCATCGCAGTTCTGGTGGTTTTCCACATGGCTATTTATGATGAGCATGTCATTTTTTATTGGTTTGGGAGTATGAAAACCTATTTTCCTTTAAATAATTGGTGTTTAAAGTTAATGTACTAGGCCAGTGCACCCACTCTCTGATTTTCCATATATAGGGACACAAACACCAATATGAACCATACAGTGATTCCCACCTTTCTGCACTTAAAGTTAGGAAAACAAAAAATGTTTGGGCTGGATATGTATTTTAAAGCTGAAATGCTCCTGTGATCTTTATTGTATGGTTACATTGGTCTAGCTTGGCACATTGTAAATTTGTACATCTCATATCTGAGGGAATTCTAGGAAAGCAGTCAATCACTGTAGTAGTCTGTGCTAAAATGGTGATAATTGCAATCTTCTGGGTGCTGTTCAAGGAGCTTCCTCTTTACACACTGACCACAGCAGGTCACTTCCTTGGCACTGCCGCCATGGAGGGGTGGAGAGGAGGGGCTGTTATGCCACAATCTCTACCTTTTCCAATCAGAAAACATCTTGTATTCATAGAAAAAAAATAAAGGTGTTCTGTAAATGGCAGAGGTGCCAAGCGAGCGACCCCATGTGGTTAATGTGCACAGGGGAAACTGCTCACACATGGACCTGGAAGATTGCACCTATCACCATAGAAGCATTGACTGTTACAGTGATTGTCAGCTTTCCCAGTATCTCAGATATAAGATATACATACACTGTGCCAAGTTGGACCAATGTAACTGTGCACTAAAGATCATCCCTGGAGTTTAGCTTTAAAGTACAAATCTAGTCCAAACATTTGTTCTCCTAAATCTGAGTGCAGAAAGGTAAGGACCTCTCTCTGGTTTATGGTGTTTGTGCCCCTATGCTGAAGTATGACTTAACTAGAGGAGACATGAAGCCTTTTACTTCTAAAGAGAACCTGTCACAAAGAACATCACCTGTCACAGCCTACACTCTGAGTTAGCACCGGGGCAGACACATCACTGTACCTCTTTAATAGAAAAGCACTGCATTTAATATTTTAAGGTATCCTTTGGGGAAAGAGCATCACAAACTTGCTTAGGTGGCTTAGTGAAGCTTACAAGTTTGTAAATGTAAATTTGAACGCTAAGAGCCATTTAAAAAAAGAGTGGTAAAGGGCAGGCAGTTGATCACATTTTTACTGCACCTGACCACCCATAAATCCCAAAAGCTGGATTGTGTAGTACACATGCTGCGGAAAATTTAGCTTGACCTGCAGGGTCAATATCAAGAGGCAATAACACCCATCAAACTCACCTTTTGGGGGCAATGAGCCTGGAATGCAACTACAAATCAGCTGCTTGGTTCAAAGTTGCAAAGTGGCATTTGAATACAAATTTCCCATTGAGAATTAACCAGCTGAATGACGGCTACTGTGCAGTTGTTCAGTTCTGGGAGGGTGTCATATGATGTCCTCCCAGGATGCGCCCCAGCGATCTTCATGATCGCTGTGTCGTACGCACACAGCTGATCACGTGATCTTTTACCAATGTCCAATGACACAGCAGATCACTAGGTAAATGCAATGATGTTCTCTGATGATCAGTGCCCAGCAGTGCCACCCACCTGTGCCATGCCCAGCAGTGCAGCCTATCCATGCTCATCAGTACTGCCTATCAGTGCAGCCTCATCAATGCACATCAGTGAAGGAGAAAAATGACCTGTTTGTAAAATTTTATAAGGGAAAAAAAAAAAAAAAAAAAAAAAAGGGAACCTTGCCTTCTGAATGGCTGGCAGCTTCTATTCTGATGACAATTGCAAAACAATCCACTGCAGATCTCTTTTCAGAGGGCAGAAGCGACTGCCGCCACTGTGAAAGACCCAACTAAATTATATTACTGCCGCTATGAAGCAATGCAATTCAACTGTTTTTTTTTTTAATAACATATTTGCTACTTTCTGTTTATGCAGTTGGTGCACATCATTTCCTAAGGTGGGTGTCCTGATGGTGACAGCAGTGGGCAATTCCTTTGCTGCCACTTTGGAAGCCTGTGTGACAGGGCAACATTGAAGAACAACAATTGGGAGACATGAAGAAAACGTTGTTGCCCTATAATAGGCATTGTCTGCACAAGGACCTTTGTGAAAGGATTGCCGGTATTATTAAAATGAAAACTGCAGATTTAAAAATATTAAAAATGACATGTTGGGGGATGACAGTTCCAGGATCACTTTAGTTGTAGGACTGTATCTTATGTAGGGGATTGTTTTAATTTTAGAGACTGGGAGGATCTCCCATGCAAGAACTACGATTTAGTTTTCACTGCAGAAGATGTTTGGCAAATGCTATGAGATCATTCTGGTGATATCAAAGCTGACGTTTCAATATAACTTTTTTTTGCATAGTTACATTGATCCAGCTCAGTCCAATTTAGGCGTCCATGGGTTTTATGTACTAAAGCTGGAGAGTGCAAAATCAGGCTCACTTCTGCATAGAAACCAACCATCTTTTAACCTCAACTTGTACAATTAAGCTTTGGCAATAAAACCTGGAAGACGATTGGTGTCTATGCAGCACTGAGTCTGATTTTGCACACTCTAGTTTTGTAAAGAAACCCCTAAGTGTCATACCTGGTTGGTCAGTGTGGAAGCTGAAATTTATTGAAGTAATGCTTTCCCCAGTAGCTTCCAGGTCCTGTGCCAAGTACTGCCCTTCTGATTAGTGAAAACAAGAGGTTGCTTGCTTGGCACAGATGCCATTCAGAGAAATCTTTGCATTTTATAAACAAAGTATTCTCTGAATGAACAAGGTGGAGATTGTGACATCACCTCACCTCTCCACCTTGTCTAGTCAGAGAACAATTTGCATTCATTGAGAAAATGCAAAATGTTCTTTGAGACCTGTCTCACACTAATGTGGTGAGGGAAACAGACATTTGCATGTATCCCGCACCGCATAGTGTAAACCCGGGCTGAATGATGCATGTGCTGAGCAAGTGACCATCTGTGTTCAGTATGCAGCAGGGCAACTACCCAGCGTGGGACCTGGAAGCTAGCAGCAAATAATGTAGTAGCAGTGCATACTTCTGGGATTTCAAGCTTCCACGGGAATTTGCCAGGTATGGCACTTACTGTATATGCGTACATTGATCTAAGCTGAACCAATGTTATGTAAAAAAAAAAAAAAAAAAAAAAAAATTCAGCTTTAAGGTCCCATTCACACATAGAAAAACATGCGAAAGTGATTTGCATATATTTCTATGAAAATGTGCCAAAAACGCATCAATCTGCCTAAGTGGAGCTACAAAATTAGCTCCAAAACTTTTTTGAGCTTTGGGCGACTTGGAGTCGACATGTGAACTATCTCCATAAAATAATATTGATCTTTTTCTCCCCGAGTGTTTTGGAGCTTCACGCTACAAAACACTGAGTTGTGAATGGGGCCTAAATTTGCAGTAGAATAACTGAATGAACACACATTCTCAAGAGAAAGATTAATAAATCTATGGAGATAGGAGCTTAAAGCATAATGTCACTCTCTCAACCAAAACTATTTGTAATCCTTCTGCGGCAAACCTTAGTAAAGAGATAGGAAAGTATATCATATTTACTTGTGCTAAACTTTTTATTTTTTATTTTTATTACATTTCTTCAGGTACTTCCTAGTTTCCAGCCCTAGGCAAACAATGTCATACATCCCAGGAGTCTCCTGTAGGGGAGGAGGAGTTTTCTCAGCTAAGCACATCCCCCTGCCTACATGCCTGAGCTAAGGACAGATTGATTCCAGAGGAGAGACACTACATAAATCATCTGCCCTTACTCAAGATGGCCATGACCAGAAATGCTAGGGGGTGGTTTCAACGTGATTTCACAACATATTAAAGCATGGAGACATGGATGGATGGGGGTGTTTGATCTGAATAATGAAAATGTATTAAATCACCTTTTGATTTGTGGTGCTCAGATGCAGTGTAGTTCCACTTTAATCGATATGGCCTGAGCTATACAAATGATTCCTAGTAGCTGTATCAATCTACTAAGATCACAGTTAATCACTAAATAGCAACATTTTTGCCAAACAGGTTAAATAAATCAGTCACACTCAGCTGTTGCATTGTGCGATAATGCAAGATGAATTGCTACATGTATCATT